TCCAAGAAGGCTAGGTTTTAGATCTTACCTACCATAAGATCAGGGGTGTGGATGGAAGACAGCAGTGAGAAGGAGCCACGGAGTAAAACTTGAAAGGCAGCAGAAATAGTCCGAAGCCCAAAGGAGGGACCAAAGGGGGGATTCTTTAAACAAAATTTAGGGGGGGGGGAGTAAATGGGGGGCAGAAAATGGAGACACATGCAGACGACAGATCATGATTAGAGAGCAGGAGAGGAGGTGAAAGGAGACATTTATAGATAAGAAAATGTTCGTCAGGTTTCGAACCCGAGACCTATTGAATGAGAGATAAACACTGTAGGCTACTTCTAGACCACGAGAGCACCCGAAAGAATTATGGCAGGACAACTTCGGAGCAGAGACGACACAACTTGTACACTACACGGAAAATAGCTGATAAAACAAAGCAGAGTGGATGTCGTTGTTGGAAGCCTGCTTCATGTAGTGGACGAACAACACACCCAGACAGAAAGAAGAAAGAAAGAGATTGATTACACAGTATAGTAGTAGCACATGAACGTGATAATTTTTAAGATGCGATGTCTTTTTCGTTGTAATGCGCATTGAGCATCTTTTAGAAAATGGAAATGCGCAGTATAAATGCTATTTATCATTATTATTATTATAAGATTCTTTAGCGCAAGAGAAAGCAAGCCACTGGTTCCCCGTGTTATTGCTAAGCTAAGCTTCTTTGGAATACTCGTAATTTGGTTTTTGATTTTTCATTCACTTTTGAGAAGAGAGAAGAAAATTACAGACACAAAAGTTATTTAGTGCTAAGATTTTCATTTAAACGACCAAATTACAGAAACAACAGAGGTAGAGAGAGAAGGGGAAGAGAGAGGGGGGAGGAGCAGCGAGAGAAAAGGGAGAAAGAGAGAGAGGGGGGGGGGGGAGTGGGGGGGGGGGGGGGGGGGGAGAGAAAGGAATGGGGGAAAGTAACGAAGTAGGCATACGACTTAAAAATTGGCATTTAGCCTACCATAATCCTTTCCGACGAGAAACAAAATTATGCTGCTACAGACCACACCCTTCTGATTACCCTCCAAACCCCCGCGCAGTCAGCATTGCGTTCTTTTTATACAATATTATTATTGTGAGCTAGAACTCACTGACCTCTGAGCCACTCGCCCTCATCAGTGCCAGCCGCCAGCAGCAGCGTATTATCAGTGTTATCACAACTGGGCAAACTACGGCCCGCGCGCCAGATCAGACCCGACCTGTTAGCAGTTTCATTCTGGCTCCAGTATCGACTCAGTGATTAGTAGTAATGATTGTGGCCCGCAGCAAGTTGATACTTAATCAAAACAAAACTGTCGGTTTTAAGAATTGAAATCATTAGGTTTAGTTTCTGGCCTGGGTGGAAGCAATA